TCACAAAGGGGCGGTACCAAGGATGATGCATCCCAAGCAACCAAACACTTCCCCCTTTTATATGCACAACACAGGCACTAATTGGCTCATGAAACCTACCCAACTGACCAATCATGATAAAGTACAAACACTGAGGTTCACCTGTTTGGGTAACGCCAGCCAATCATACTGGGTCTATACCTCACTCTGCTACACATGCAAAACAAAGTGCTTTCTACAAATAATGCAGACAAAAAATTCTAGTAACACGGCGCACCTATTCCGCAACTGAAAGGTAAAACCATGAGTCCGCCTGACATTCAAAATAATTTTAAATAGCATAAAAGCGCCCTCTAGTGTTTCTGATGGAATTACACGCAGCCTGCTGTAGTCTCTAAAAATAATCACTCGCACGTATACAGCAGGTTTACAGTTCAACAGGTCCGATATAGTCCATAAATCCGCTCCCTTTAGTCAAACAAATATATCTTCTTTATATTTAATGACCTCATGCACTCTTTTAAATTATGTCATAGCAACACACCCAGTGTGCTGCTCTGATAGGACTGTGGCACATTGAGCTAAAACATCATAAAACCCCCAGAGTAAACTTATGAGGGGTGTTTCTCGCATAATGAGCTGTCAAATGATTTTATTACTGAATCTGTTGATACTCTAAATTAAATTAGATTAATCTTTTATCTTTATTTGCTCTTCTCTCCTCTAGTCTTTGCCCTCCCAGTCCACTCCAACTTACTCCTGCATGTTGCCTCCTTCTCCTTCTGCCCTCCCCCCTCTTTCCCGTAAATTTGACTCCTCATCTTACACCTCTCCCCACCTCCCGCCCCCACCCACGGCCAGCGCAAACACAGGTGAGTGCCGTTTTGTAACATACTCCACCCTCACAATGCAAATGAATACTCTAATCCACAGGCCAAAACACTGCATGAGCAAAAAGTGTGTGAATGTGGTTTAGCCCCTTTGTGGTTTCCTTCTGTGTTACAAATAAGTCATCAGAGGTGGCCACGAGTGAAGAATGCACTGGTAAGGCCTTGTGTTTCTTTCAGGATTCTTTCCCGGTGTTTCCGCAGCAGGGCAGACTGCAGTTCAAGGCGGCGAGCAGGAGCTGGGACAAGGTCTGGGTCAGTACTGGACGCGACTGCAGTAAAAACACACCTTATCATTATCAGACAAAACCAGCAGAGCTTCAATCAGCAACTTTGAGCAAATTATTTAACAAAACGTGTGTCAGGAAACCCTACTTATTTAGATTATGTACACATCAGGGAAGCAGTCTATGTAAGCCATAATCCTGTGAAAAAAATGTGGACCTCACAAACCTGCACAGATGGAAGAGAAAAGGGACTCCAGCCTTTTTGATCTGCACAGTTATATAGGCCTACTCAGCACCATGCCAGACAATAGCACAAACTAGTCTGGTTAACATTCTCAGCTATTGGAGTTAAAACAGTGCACATCTAAAAAATTAGCTGAGGCCAACACCTTGCCTCATGTTGATGCAACGAAAAATGTTGTTTAATTGATGTGCCACTTACAATCAATGTGATAAACTGCATGTGACCAACAATGAGGATGTTTTAAAACTGCTTCTGTAGTTGCCGTTCAAAAGTTTGGGTTTGGTAAGATATTTTAATGTTTCTTATGCTTACCAAGGGTGCATTTATTGATTAAAAATACAGTAAATGCTGAAATATTTTTACAATTTAAAATAACTTATTAAAAAGTATATTAGTAAGATTTATTCCTGTGATGGCAAAGCTGAATTTTCGGCATCATTACTCCAGTCTTCAGTGTCACATGATCCTTCAGAAATCATTCTTATATGCTGATTTACTGCTCAATAAACATTTCTTATTATCAATATAAAGAACACTTTTGCTGCTTAATATTTTTGTTATAACCCTAACTGTGATAAATTTTTTTCCCCAGGATTCTTTGATAAACAGAAAGTTCAAAAGAACAGCATTTATTTGAAATAAAAATCTTTTGTAATGTTACGTCTATACTGTTACTTTTGATCAATTTAATGTGTCCTTGCTGAATAAAAGTATTATTATTATTTAAATCTTACTAACCCCAAACTTTCGAACGGTAATGTAGATTGATGGTGGTATTGAAAATGATAGATTTTGAGAAGTCTGTTATGAGCCTATCATAATATTGCACTGACGTGGAGAAACCAATCACAATCAAGCTAATACACAAGCTAAGCAGTGACAATCAATATAAGTGCACAAAGTATCAAAACTGAATATGAATTGCTGTAGCCAGTGACAATCAAAATACATTATTGCAAAAGGCTGCAAAGACAATCAAACATACTGACCATGTGTAATATACTGAAGTTAAGTTAATGATTTATTACTGTACATTGTTAAATGGACACTACTGTGATTTGATTATTGCTTTATTTCATCACTCTGTAACATTCATAGGTTTTTTCCTGTCAGATCCCATGAACGCACTGTAGATTTGTATGTTTGAATGTGTGTGAATATGAAAGAGAGAGAGTGATAACGTTACTGTATTTATCATTAGAATTGTGAACATTTTAGTGTAAACCCTTTTGTGGAATTACTAAACATTGAAATAAAAATATTACATTGAAAAGAACAACAGCCTGTGTTTTTGTTAGTATTCATCATGCAAAGTATTTGTATTAATTCTTGGTGCATATCCCAGAACACTCTTCTATGAATTTTTTTTTTTAATTTCCCCTCATCTTTATCTTTTTCTCTAGAGTAACAGTGAATTGGTTCACTAGCGGCCGTTTGGGTTGTGTTTACTTATTACTGTCACTGAACAGTAGCATTTCCTGCCTGTGTGCTGGTGGATTTCCTGTTTTTGTTACTTACATCACCACACCCATTGAAAATAATGTTCTGACAAAGTTATTCTCACAGGGACTCAGACAGTACAGGAGTTATGAATAACTTTGATGTCATAAGATATTTTCTCACATACCAGAACACATGTAAAGAAAATATAGCCACATGGTTATAAACTTGTATATAATAACCAAGGAGAGATTAAAATGAAACTTGGTTTAACAAAATTTGCTGTCTGTCCTTGGCACTTCTTATGGCACTCACAATGCCATTCAGGAAACACTTAGAGGTCTGACTCTGCCCATATCTGAGATTTATCCTCCAAATTTCCGGTGCACTACTCTTGATGAGTTTAATTAAGGCCGATGTTAAGGAGCTGTGGAGACCGGGAGGGCAAAGCACGCAAATTTCTTCGTTTGAGCAGAGGTCACTATAATAGTCACGTCTCTTCTATTCCCATAAGGCCTCGAGTCCCCAATCAGAGCATGTTTATCTAGTCTGTGTGAACATGGGGTCTCCTCCCTCAAACTCATCGCTCCATCTCTACCCCTCCCTCTATCTGTTCATCTCTTGACCTCTGCACACAGTCTTGGCCTGTGGTTCTCAAGTGGATAAACACATCCTCGGTTTCTCATGCAAACCTCCCTGGAACAGCTGAATGTGACAGATACAAATTCTGATTCATTTTACTATTGTTTAGATATTAAAAGGACATTTCTGTTTGAGTACAAGTTAAGCTCAGATGACAGCATTTGTGGCATAATGTTGATTACCACAAAAAAAAAAAAAAAATATTACTGTTTAAAGCACTTACAAAGAAGGTGAAAGTCAATCTGTAAATGTAAAAATACTTACTGTTTCAAAAGTATAGCATCAAGACATAAACAATAAGTTAAAACAATTTTATAGTGTGAAAAAGAGCTTGCTAACCATTTCTGTGCAAAATTATATCCAATTTTACAACATTGTCACCATGAAATGTAATGCTGTAAACCCTAAAACTAAAATTACTGTAAAAAATTATGATTTAAACAACATACAGCTCAAATTTTAACAGAAAAGTTAAGATAAATAAAATTACATTTATAACATTATATAATAAATATAAAAATAGATATAAAATGACAAGCTTCACATTTCTGCTTTTAAATCCCATTTACTTCCATTGTAAGCGCCTCACCCTAATGTTGATTTTTTTTTAAAAGAAAACAAAGGTCAAAATGACTTTTGTGTTAATCAGCATTATGCCATGCATGAATGCTGCTGATTCAGCTTAACTTGTATTGAATCCGGAATATTTCTCCAGCAACTCACCTCATTTGACAGATCCTTTTCTAATCCAAAATGATTAAAATATTGTGCATATGGCAGGTTGGCCTGATAAACAAAAGTAAAGGTAGTCAGGTACAATTCTAGCACACAGGTTAGGTCACTGGGGTTCTTTTACTATATAGCAATATAGCATAGAAAATACACAATAAGAACAATTCAGATACATTTAATTTTCCTTAATGAACACAACATCTTTTTTTTCAGAGAGGGGTAGCCATTTTGAACTCTGCACCACATTTAGAGTCCACCAAACTCTCTCTCTGTGTGTGTGTGTGTGTGTGTGTGTGTGTGCGTGAGTCTCTGAGAGTTCTTTGCTGGTTTCCTGTCACAGAGGAAGTGCCTCACCCAGCTGTGTTGCTCCCTATTGGCTCACGATCAGGAGAACAGTGATTTCGGGCTGATAGGGTGGCCGAGCGAGGGATAGATAGAGGGAGTGCGGAGCGAAGAGAGGGACAAGCAGTCAGGACAGGTCAGAGGGTAGGCAGGAAGAAGAGAGTGCACAGCTAAATAAAGACAGTCAAGATGAAGAGAGCAAGAGATGGAGGGTGCAGACGTGAGAGCATATCATCTCTGCTAAAGAGGAAATAACTCTGAGGTAAGACATCAGAGCAGATGAAGCTTCAGAGAAGAAAAAGGTTAAAGTATGCAAAACAAAGTCCTTTCTACAATATTAAATAATGCAGACAAAAAAATTCTAGTACACGCACCTATTACGCAACTGAAAGGTAAAACCATGAGTCCACCTGACATTCAAAATAATTTAAAATAGCTTAAAAGCGCCCTCTAGTGTTTCTGATGGAATATACACAGCCTGCTGTAGTTTCTAAAAATAAACTCGCACGTATACAGCAGGTTTACAGTTCAGCAGGTCGGATTTAGTCCATAAATCCCCTCCCTTTAGTTAAACAAATATATCTTCATCATATTTAATGACCTCATGCACTCTTTTCAATTACATCATAGCAACACACCTAGTGTGCTGGTCTGATAGGACTGTGGCACATTGATGTAAAACAACATAATAAACCCCCCCAGAGTAAACTTACATGGGGTGTTTTTTTGTCCACTGATTTTACTACTGAAACTGTTGATACTCTAATTGAAATTAGATTAATCTTTTATCTTTATTTGCTCTTTTCTCCTCTCCTTTAGTCTTTGCCCTCCCAGTCCACTCCAACTTACTCCTGCATGTTGCCTCCTTCTCCTTCTGCCCTCCCCCCTCTTTCCCGTAAATTTGACTCCTCATCTTACACCTCTCCCCACCTCCCGCCCCCACCCACGGCCAGCGCAAACACAGGTGAGTGCCGTTTTGTAACATACTCCACCCTCACAATGCAAATGAATACTCTAATCCACAGGCCAAAACACTGCATGAGCAAAAAGTGTGTGAATGTGGTTTAGCCCCTTTGTGGTTTCCTTCTGTGTTACAAATAAGTCATCAGAGGTGGCCACGAGTGAAGAATGCACTGGTAAGGCCTTGTGTTTCTTTCAGGATTCTTTCCCGGTGTTTCCGCAGCAGGGCCGACTGCAGTTCAAGGCGGCGAGCAGGAGCTGGGACAAGGTCTGGGTCAGTACTGGACGCGACTGCAGTAAAAACACACCTTATCATTATCAGACAAAACCAGCAGAGCTTCAATCAGCAACTTTGAGCAAATTATTAAACAAAAAATGTGTCAGGAAACCCTACTTGTTTAGATTATGTACACATCAGTGAAGAAGTCTATGTAAGCCATAATCCTGTGAAAAAAACAACAACTCACAAACCTGCACAGACAGATAAGAAAATGGACTCCAGCATTTTTGATCTGCACAGTTATAGTGCAGTTCCTAGTCAGCACCATGCCAGACAATAGCACAAACTAGTCTGGTTAACGTTCTCAGCTATTGGAGAATAGTAAAAAATTAGCTGCATGAGGCCAACACCTTGCCTCATGTTGATGCAACGAAAAATGTTGTTTAATTGATGTGCCACTTACAATCAATGTGATAAACTGCATGTGACCAACAATGAGGATGTTTTAAAACTGCTTCTGTAGTTGCCGTTCAAAAGTTTGGGTTTGGTAAGATATTTTAATGTTTCTTATGCTTACCAAGGGTGCATTTATTGATTAAAAATACAGTAAATGCTGAAATATTTTTACAATTTAAAATAACTTATTAAAAAGTATATTAGTAAGATTTATTCCTGTGATGGCAAAGCTGAATTTTCAGCATCATTACTCCAGTCTTCAGTGTCACATGATCCTTCAGAAATCATTCTTATATGCTGATTTACTGCTCAATAAACATTTCTTATTATCAATATAAAGAACACTTTTGCTGCTTAATATTTTTGTTATAACCCTAACTGTGATAAATTTTTTTCCCCAGGATTCTTTGATAAACAGAAAGTTCAAAAGAACAGCATTTATTTGAAATAAAAATCTTTTGTAATGTTACGTCTATACTGTTACTTTTGATCAATTTAATGTGTCCTTGCTGAATAAAAGTATTATTATTATTTAAATCTTACTAACCCCAAACTTTCGAACGGTAATGTAGATTGATGGTGGTATTGAAAATGATAGATTTTGAGAAGTCTGTTATGAGCCTATCATAATATTGCACTGACGTGGAGAAACCAATCACAATCAAGCTAATACACAAGCTAAGCAGTGACAATCAATATAAGTGCACAAAGTATCAAAACTGAATATGAATTGCTGTAGCCAGTGACAATCAAAATACATTATTGCAAAAGGCTGCAAAGACAATCAAACATACTGACCATGTGTAATATACTGAAGTTAAGTTAATGATTTATTACTGTACATTGTTAAATGGACACTACTGTGATTTGATTATTGCTTTATTTCATCACTCTGTAACATTCATAGGTTTTTTCCTGTCAGATCCCATGAACGCACTGTAGATTTGTATGTTTGAATGTGTGTGAATATGAAAGAGAGAGAGTGATAACGTTACTGTATTTATCATTAGAATTGTGAACATTTTAGTGTAAACCCTTTTGTGGAATTACTAAACATTGAAATAAAAATATTACATTGAAAAGAACAACAGCCTGTGTTTTTGTTAGTATTCATCATGCAAAGTATTTGTATTAATTCTTGGTGCATATCCCAGAACACTCTTCTATGAATTTTTTTTTAAAATTTCCCCTCATCTTTATCTTTTTCTCTAGAGTAACAGTGAATTGGTTCACTAGCGGCCGTTTGGGTTGTGTTTACTTATTACTGTCACTGAACAGTAGCATTTCCTGCCTGTGTGCTGGTGGATTTCCTGTTTTTGTTACTTACATCACCACACCCATTGAAAATAATGTTCTGACAAAGTTATTCTCACAGGGACTCAGACAGTACAGGAGTTATGAATAACTTTGATGTCATAAGATATTTTCATCTCACATACCAGAATTACAAATATAGAAAATATTGCTACATGGTTATATATTTGTATATAATAACCAAAGATAGATTGAAATGAAGCTTGGTTGAACAGAATTCTCTGTTGGTCCTTGGCACTTCTTATGGCACTCACAATGCCATTCAGGAAACACTTAGAGGTCTGACTCTGCCCATATCTGAGATTTATCCTCCAAATTTCCGGTGCACTACTCTTGATGAGTTTAATTAAGGCCGATGTTAAGGAGCTGTGGAGACCGGGAGGGCAAAGCACGCAAATTTCTTCGTTTGAGCAGAGGTCACTATAATAGTCACGTCTCTTCTATTCCCATAAGGCCTCGAGTCCCCAATCAGAGCATGTTTATCTAGTCTGTGTGAACATGGGGTCTCCTCCCTCAAACTCATCGCTCCATCTCTACCCCTCCCTCTATCTGTTCATCTCTTGACCTCTGCACACAGTCTTGGCCTGTGGTTCTCAAGTGGATAAACACATCCTCGGTTTCTCATGCAAACCTCCCTGGAACAGCTGAATGTGACAGATACAAATTCTGATTCATTTTACTATTGTTTAGATATTAAAAGGACATTTCTGTTTGAGTACAAGTTAAGCTCAGATGACAGCATTTGTGGCATAATGTTGATTACCACAAAAAAAAAAAAAAAATATTACTGTTTAAAGCACTTACAAAGAAGGTGAAAGTCAATCTGTAAATGTAAAAATACTTACTGTTTCAAAAGTATAGCATCAAGACATAAACAATAAGTTAAAACAATTTTATAGTGTGAAAAAGAGCTTGCTAACCATTTCTGTGCAAAATTATATCCAATTTTACAACATTGTCACCATGAAATGTAATGCTGTAAACCCTAAAACTAAAATTACTGTAAAAAATTATGATTTAAACAACATACAGCTCAAATTTTAACAGAAAAGTTAAGATAAATAAAATTACATTTATAACATTATATAATAAATATAAAAATAGATATAAAATGACAAGCTTCACATTTCTGCTTTTAAATCCCATTTACTTCCATTGTAAGCGCCTCACCCTAATGTTGATTTTTTTTTAAAAGAAAACAAAGGTCAAAATGACTTTTGTGTTAATCAGCATTATGCCATGCATGAATGCTGCTGATTCAGCTTAACTTGTATTGAATCCGGAATATTTCTCCAGCAACTCACCTCATTTGACAGATCCTTTTCTAATCCAAAATGATTAAAATATTGTGCATATGGCAGGTTGGCCTGATAAACAAAAGTAAAGGTAGTCAGGTACAATTCTAGCACACAGGTTAGGTCACTGGGGTTCTTTTACTATATAGCAATATAGCATAGAAAATACACAATAAGAACAATTCAGATACATTTAATTTTCCTTAATGAACACAACATCTTTTTTTTCAGAGAGGGGTAGCCATTTTGAACTCTGCACCACATTTAGAGTCCACCAAACTCTCTCTGTGTGTGTGTGTGTGTGTGTGTGTGTGTGTGTGTGCGTGAGTCTCTGAGAGTTCTTTGCTGGTTTCCTGTCACAGAGGAAGTGCCTCACCCAGCTGTGTTGCTCCCTATTGGCTCACGATCAGGAGAACAGTGATTTCGGGCTGATAGGGTGGCCGAGCGAGGGATAGATAGAGGGAGTGCGGAGCGAAGAGAGGGACAAGCAGTCAGGACAGGTCAGAGGGTAGGCAGGAAGAAGAGAGTGCACAGCTAAATAAAGACAGTCAAGATGAAGAGAGCAAGAGATGGAGGGTGCAGACGTGAGAGCATATCATCTCTGCTAAAGAGGAAATAACTCTGAGGTAAGACATCAGAGCAGATGAAGCTTCAGAGAAGAAAAAGATAGTTGCACGGACAGATATGAATTTATAAGTATAATGAAAAAGTTTGAGAGTTTGTCAATTTGGATAATGAAGAATGTTGCTGCTGAGAGGCTTTTGTGGTAACTACAGATTTTATTTTCATTTCTGTACTGATATTTTCTGTAATTTCTTAATGATGAACAACATTGTGACCTTTTAAAATGGTGTAGACTTTCAACGGTACTTAACCCAGAATATTTGCAAACTGATATGTTCCTTAATCTCTCATTACTTTCTCATAAATCTGAATGTCCTCTTGCTCTTTTTTGGTCTTGTCAGCTTGAATTGTTCTCAGCATACTTTTTTTTTTGCTAATGACTGACCTTTTCTATCAGTGCTCATCCAAACTTTCTCAGCAATTGATTTCATAACATGTTACCGTGTCTCTGTTTCTCTGTCTGACCGTCCATCTCTGTCTCTCCCAATCCTTGTACCAGTGTCTGATTTACAGATGACGCTGGACGGGGTTTGGGGGGGGCTGAGGGAGGACAAATGCTCCCCAACTTTCCTGTCATCAATACAAACAGTAAAGTACCAGTCACCAAATAACTCTCTCTTCTCTGTGGCTGAGAAAAATGTTGGTTTTTGTCTGAAAATAAACCCTATTTGGTGAAACACATAACTGAGTGCTTTTATTTTACTTTTTCTTTTACTAATATTGGTTTGTTTTTTGCATTTATTTTACTTTAGAGTGCATTCAATTCGTCAAATTAGAAATTTGTCTTTAACACCAGCATACAAGACAGAGAGAAGTGAACAGTAAATAAACCATATAGACAAAAGTAAACACTACAAATAGGCATATGTATATGTTACAAAATAGCAAAGTAGCATCAAAATTAGGAGTAAAATAGCTCTACTTAAAATTGTCGTGCTGAGGACAATTATAGCCAATGGAAGGAACACATGATTTATTTTATGAAAGTTTCTTACTGTACCATTTGAACATACTGCAAGATTGAACCCTGTCCACTGGGAAAATGGCTTCGTCCTATGCTACTCCTCAGTGACATGCGCAGTGCGTACAACTAAACTCGGTCATTCCGTAGGACGGACTAATTGACGCGGTAGAAACCGGTAGGGAAGGTGAAGCTTTGTCGGTATCGACAGTGGAGTATCAATAACATCGATATGAATCACAGCTTCAGATCTGATTTGATTCGCCGTGAGATCTGACCTACATCTGAACTCTCCAATAACATCAGACACAAGTGACTCTTAACTCGTCTGAAGTTTGACACAGTTCGCGGCTGAGTCGCGCGTACTGTATCTGTTTTGATGCAGTTTTCAATAATAGTGACTTTGTCGATGCGTTTGGTTGCGTTCAGTTTTAACACGTCGCGACTCAGCTGATTCCTTCGGACGTCGAGGTGACATTATTTACCAGGTATGAACTTTTGTAAGACAGGTATTTTCTGGTGATGTTTGATTTCATCCAAGACAGTCTGTTGTTATCATGACAGTCATGTATGACTGTGAATATTAACTTGAATTCAGGTGTAAATGGTGGCATGATACAGTCAGAAAAAGAGTATCACGAATTGTTCATATAGGCCTATGTCAAGAGTGTGGCAGAATTAATGTAAACAATCTTATAAACAAGTTTTTCCCTTTTTGTATCTTAGTAATTCGTTTCAATCAGTCATTCATTTATGCGTTCAGTGCTACCAACTTGATATTTCACTGACACAAACAACCCACATCTCTAACCACATATGTAATGAACTTTGTAGGTGTCTATTTTGTCTGTTAATAACTTTACTATGGACTACTAACCAACCTAGTAGCCTATAGTAAAGTTACCTACAGGCAAACTAGACATCTACAGAGTTAGTTACTGATCTAGGGTTTAAGTTTTTACATGTAGAAAGCCACTGAAATAGAGCCTTGGTGTACAACTGAAAACATACAACAAGGGTTGAGTCCCTACATGTGCTCAGTGTGTAAAAACAAAAGCAGGGAGCCACAGTCACCTGATGACACTGGGAGACTTCGAAATCTTTGACTTTCTATGCTTGTTTCACTTGACAGGTAAGATAAAAGGACATTGTTTTTCACTTGTCATTAACATATAAAATGTTATTCCAGCCTGGTCAGGAATGTGTCACTCTGACAGTTTTGCAATGAGGTAAATTCCTCTTCTGATCTGGAGTACGTATGAATGTATTGTGAGTGATAAACGTGCCACTACAGCAGAAGCTGGGTGATGATGCTTTCTCGCTTCTGCTGTGAAATCCACACTTGCATGTCTTAGCTGGAAGCTGATTAGAATTTTGTTTGTGTTTAAATATTTTTAGCCTTTTATGGTATTATGTAAACATGTACTAATAGTCTTTAGACCGCCTCTTATTTTACATTTTAGTACAATTATGGGTATATTTAATAATTCAAGTAATCACATAATATAGTATTTCATTATTCCACACATAAAGTCCAAAGTAGCATAGTAGTTTAATATATTAAGTAAAGCTCATTTTCTACCATAATATGTGTGCCATAAAAACTGGCAGGGTCTAGTCTCATACAAGTAGGGTAAGGAGGGAAAGATGAACAGGTCAAGTAACAAACACATGAAAACATGTCAAGTGTTTTGAGTTGTGAAACTGCCTTGTTCTGCTAAAGATAAAAACCATTGCATACCCACAGTGGAATTTACACGTGCTGATGAGTCGTAATAACCTGTAAAGTAGAGGAGTGAGTTATAAGCAAAATGCTCACAGTGAATGAGAAGAATTATTGGAATGATAAAATGCTTTACAAGAATTGTCATTGGTGTTCTGATGACAGTTGTCTGATATTAGGCTTATATACCACACACACACACACACAAAAATACACTGATATGTATGAAGTACTAATATATATTACCATGAAGACACAAAGTCTTGTTTTCTTATAAATTAAACAAAATCAAGAACAAATATCTGCCAGTGGGCTATGAAAACTTGTTTTCCCTTTCAATTAAGTAGATTTTTCTGAGCCCATTGGCAGATATTTGTACTTTTTAAATCGTAAACTCACTTCATTTTGGTCAGTTTCTTGGTCATTTTCCTTTCCCAGTATATCTTGATTTAAGAATCTTTGAAGTGTTGCTAATACAGCTCATTTATGCTCCATAGACATTTACATTTAGAGAACATATTAAATAAAATATTGATAAATTCCAAGTTTAATCCAGTAATCAGGCATCATATCTGCCAAATGGGGTGCTTTTGTCCATGACATGTATATTTTGCGTTATTATGCAATCAAACAGAAAACTGTTATTACTTGTCTTCAGTGATCATTTTTTTAACGTTAATGCATTTCCACCAAAAGTTATCGAAAACCCTACTTAGAGGGCAGTATATATAGATAAATGTAGTTGTCATGTTTGAAATGTTTGTGAAAGGCTATAAATGACGTAGATCAATATAATGCCTGAGGTAAACAGACTGGAACTTCCAGCTCTCGTTCTGTGTCTTTATGTTTGAGTGAGAAATAGCTCATAAGTATGTGTCTGTAGTTGTACTTTCACTTCCTTCATGTACCACTATGAATTGAAGTACTGTTGAGGTAACTCACTTCTCTTTCGATTGGATGGATTATTGGTTGTATTTTAATGCACAATTCTTCACTGAACATTACACATACAAAGTGTACATTGACCTCCAGTTAATCATTTGTCTTGACAGAGAGACGAGGCTCTGGTTTAGGTTTTTACTTGTGGAAAGAACATTGGAATTCTTGAGTGGTGTTTTGTATTGTTGCATAATATGAAAGTGTGCTCACATTTTAAAGAGTTTTAGTTCTCTCTCTGTCTCAGCGATGGCAGATGTAGTGGTCAGGCCTGCTTCCCCCTCACCCTCCATCTCCCTCCCGGAGATCAAAGCAGAGGCGCGGTTGGTGCTGAAGTCTTTTCTGCGTCACTCTCTCTCGATTCCTCCTGGGGAGCGCCCTGGAAGGATAGGAGGAGAATACAAGGACCCAAACAAATACAGGTGACACAAATCATTCAAACTGATACAGAATTAAACACTGTAATGGCACAAAATAAAACAACTCATTTTGTAAGTATGACTGAACATCACAGACATAAACAAGACAATTATATACTTGTTATAAGCAAACACCAGAGATTATAATAATTATTATAATAATCTATCTGACCTGTCTCTGAAGTGTATTTTTTGGACTCTTTAACCCCAATGGTGCTCTTTTTTTTGTTGTCTTTTTACTCTATCACATATTTTAGTAATCATCATAAATTATATATTATTTGAAAGCTTAAAACCTCAGAATTCATCCTGTGAAAACCATTTTTAAATCGGACATTGCTTTACCATGGAAATGGTACTTTAAATTCTTTTAGCGGTCTCCTCCCCTTAGTAGGTGTAGTCAAGTGTCATATTACAAAATGTATTACGGTCTTTTAGAATCAAAAGTTTTTATTTAGACCTTTGTGACAGAAAAATGCATCAACAAAAATTCTACAGAGTTTGGATGGCACCCGGTGTCTGTTTGTGGTATAACGCCCTAACTAAATAAAATCTCACAGGAACCTCAATTTTTTTTATATCAACCTCATATTTGGAACATAACTTATTTAGACATAAAGCTTTAATTTTATATCAATTTTGGATTCAAAAATATTTTGTAAAATATTTATTTTACATAAAATAAAAATTGGTACAGTGCATTTTCTTTACAGTAAACTTCTATAACTTTTTGATACTTTAATATTTTGAAGTGATTCCACTTCTGCAGTAATCTGCAGATTATCTTCTTAAAAGGAGTCCAACCTTAGGTCTGTATTCCAAAGTTTTCATGAATTATAATAATTTAAGTTTGGATAGTGCACTTTCACATCTGTTCAAAAATGGGGGGTGGCACTTAAGGGGTTAATTGCTTTTTGGCTTTGAATTCCTTTTAAATTATTCACAATATATTTTATTTGATTTTATCCTATTTTCAAAAGAATAGTGGAAGCTGGAATAGTGCCAGATGAATCATTTTTTCATCTGTCAATCATTAATAATGATTTGAATATATAAACCGTTGCTAACCTCACTACTGTGACAGTTTCTCAAGGATCCTTGCTACTAACTTCATTTATTCAATAGTCCAGGGGAACTTTTAGTGGTCAAGTCATCTAATCTTGGACCACAACGATTCTGTTATCCCCCGTTCATCTATGATCCGCCGTGCTAAGAAAGACGGCAGTTCTGACCCGACTCCAAACAACACCCTGGAGAAGCAGAGTCAGCCGGGCCAGTCTGACAAGCCATCAACAAATGGAACACACAGTTTCCCCGGAAAAACAGAGGTAAAATCACAAACCTAAGGCCTTTTATAATGCAAAGCAACAGTGAGTGTTTTTTGTCAAATAATATGTAATTTGCTCATTTTATGTAGCTTCAGAAAAACTTGCATTGCAAATGAATTTGATAATCAATTCAAAACCTTAAAAGTGCATTTTTAAAATGAATGGTAGGCTCCTACACTTTCAGCTTTACACTTCGGCTTGTGCTCATGCTGGTAGTGTGTAACCTCTTAATATGGGCACCAAAATAAATAAGCATTGCCTAACATGCAGTGTGAAACAAGCAAACACTGTTGACTATATCTGTAGAGGCCAAAACTGGCCCTTGTTTCATCTGGTGCATGAACTTCAAAGCTAATTCAAAACTTTTACGGGTTCTGTATTGCAAATTTACTGACCAGCCAAGGAGCCAAAATGCATTAATTTTTAGCTTCTTTCTTAACAGTATGTGCATTAACAAACCTAAGGCCTTTTATAATGCAAAGCAACAGTGAGTGTTTTTTGTCAAATAATATGTAATTTGCTCATTTTATGTAGCTTCAGAAAAACTTGCATTGCAAATGAATTTGATAATCAATTCAAAACCTTAAAAGTGCATTTTTAAAATGAATGGTAGGCTCCTACATTTTCAGCTTTACACTTCGGCTTGTGCTCATGCTGGTAGTGTGTAACCTCTTAATATGGGCACCAAAATAAATAAGCATTGCCTAACATGCAGTGTGAAACAAGCAAACACTGTTGACTATATCTGTAGAGGCCAAAACTGGCCCTTGTTTCATCTGGTGCATGAACTTCAAAGCTAATTCAAAACTTTTACGGGTTCTGTATTGCAAATTTACTGACCAGCCAAGGAGCCAAAATGCATTAATTTTTAGCTTCTTTCTTAACAGTATGTGCATTAACATTGCTCTTCAGAACTACTTGTTAATGAGACATTTTCTTTTAGGAAGAGATATTCACACCATCCTCTGCGTCTGAAGAGGAAGGTGACAAAAAATCAGGGGACAAAAATAAGAAAAAAAAGAAAAAACTGAAAATATCTGACATATTCAAAAAAGTGTCATTCAAAAGAGAAGAGCCTCGTCCTCCGCGCCCAGCCTCTCTGCCTTTCAGAGGTGCTACAGATGTTTCACAACCTGAGGATCATCCTGTTTCACCATGTAAGTTTCAGATGTAAAAGAATTTCTTTAACTTGTTTTATGGATATAGAAGTTGAGACACAGGAGGCACTGTGAAGAATGTTTTAGATTGTCTTATTATACTGTTTTTTGAAAGAAGTCTCTTATGCTCACCAAGGCAAGAAGAATGAGATCCCGTTCATCTATGATCCGCCGTGCTAAGAAAGACGGCAGTTCTGACCCGACTCCAAACAACACCGTGGAGAAGCAGAGTCAGCCGGGCCAGTCTGACAAGCCATCAACAAATGGAACACACAGTTTACCCAGAAAAACAGAGGTAAAATCACAAACCTAAGGCCTTTTATAATGCAAAGCAACAATGAGTGTTTTTTGTCAAATAATATGTAATTTGCTCATTTTATGTAGCTTCATAAAAACTTGCATTGCAAATGAATTTGATAATCAATTCAAAACCTTAAAAGTGCATTTTTAAAATGAATGGTAGGCTCCTACATTTTCAGCTTTACACTTCGGCTTGTGCTCATGCTGGTAGTGTGTAACCTCTTAATATGGGCACCAAAATAAATATGCATTGTCTACACTTGTGATGTGCAACAGACACACACTGTTGACTATATCTGTAGAGACCAAAACCTGCTCTTGTTTTATTCAGTGAATGAACTGCAAAGCTATTTAAAAGCTTTTATGTGTTCAGTATTAAAAATTTCCTGACCAGCCAAGGAGCCAAAATGCATTCATTTTTAGCTTCTTTCTTAACAGTATGTGCATTAACATTGCTCTTCAGAACTACTTGTTAATGAGAAATTTTATTTTAGGAAGAGATATTTGCACCATCTTCTGCGTCTGAAGAAGAAGGTGACAGAAAACCAGGGTACAAAAATAAGAAAAAGAAGAAAAAACTGAAAATATCTGATATACTCAAAAAAGTGTCATTCAAAAGAGAAGAGCCTCGTCCTCAGCGCCCAGCCTCTCTGCCTTTCAGAGGTGCTACAGATGTTTCACAACCTGAGGATCATCCTGTTTCACCATGTAAGTTTCAGATGTAAAAGAATTTCTTTAACTTGTTTTATGGATATAGAAGTTGAGACACAGGAGGCACTGTGAAGAATGTTTTAGATTGTCTTATTATACTGTTTTTTGAAAGAAGTCTCTTATGCTCACCAAGGCTGCATTTATTTGATTCAAAATACAGTAAAATTGTGAAATGTTATTAGAGCATAAAGTAACTGTTTTCTTTTTGACTATATTTTAAAAAGTAATTTTTTCCTGTGATTGTAAAGCAGAAATTTCTACAGTCTTCAGTGTCACATGATCCTTCTGAAATCATTTTAATATGCTGATTTGCTGCTCAAGACACATTTCTTAATATTATAAATGCAAAACTGTTGTGCAGTTTTTTTTTTCATGATACTTTGCTAAATAGAAATTTCAAAACAACATTTATTGAAAATCTAAATATTTTGTAACATTTAAAAAAGTCTTTACTGTCACTTCAGTTTATTGCGTTCTTGCTGAATAAAATCTGAAATCTTACCGACTCCAAACGTTAGAATGATTGTGTGTGTATGGACTCTGCATGTGATATGATGTGATATGTTTTATCTCAGCTCATCCACCTGAGTTTTATGACGGTGTGGCAGAAACTCTGGACAGAATCGCACAGAAACACAGTGTGAAAAAGAAATCCCCTGTTAAACCAGAGCCTGTGCCAAGTACACGCAAAGGTACATGTAAAACCATAAACCAGACTTGTTTATGACCTGTTGGTTTTCAATTTGATCTTAATGTGTGCAGTAGATGCATTGTCAGTCAGTACCAAAGCAAGAGCAGTTGAATACTAAACAGACCTGTTGTCTTAGGTACAGAAATTCATGTTCAGTCCTTTAACAATAGCTTATTGTTATAATGGGTTGATGGTCCAGCTGATGTTTTTTGACTTGTATTGTTTGGATATTATGTTACACTTCTTCTTCTCATCGTAGACAATGGCAAAGAGGCTGTGGTTCAACAACTAGTTCAGATATTAACTTCAGAGGGGGATGCCATAAACGAGAAGGTAGTGATCCCTAAGTTTGCCAGTCTTACTGAGATATAGAGTAATTTTGGCTTCTTATCATAAAGATTTTCTGACATAAGCAGTGTTTTGATTGTTCATGGTTATTTTTAGTTAATTACTTTGTGTTTATCATTGTTAATGTTGTAGATAAACGTCAACCCATTCCTGCGGTCCACCCTCACACGCCTCTCCTACCCATCCTTTGCCAAACTCCTTGACACGTATGCCAGTCAGAGTGAAGAGCCCCCCGCTCCGGCTCCGGCTCCGGCTCCGGGTCTGGCTCCGGTCAGCCCTACGCTGCGGCGTCTCGCCATCACCATGGATGTGTCTCGACGAGTGGTCACGGCCACTGGAGTTCAGCGTCTGACAGGGTATGCTGAGCGCTACATGGAGAGCTTTGCACCATGGGTGAGGAGTCACGGAGGATGGGTGAGCAGTCTACTTTTAGCATTTTCCTCAGTCTCTAGGATATTCTGTGTTTTGTTTTTGTTACTTTCCTCCAGAAGTGGGCAGAGTTGTTAAGTAAACTGTTTTTGGGTTTTTATTCACAGGGGAACATTGCACAATTGGATGAGGTTCTGGAGTGTGATTGACCTCTGTTCATTATGAACTCTGGATCATGTAGCATGACCTCTGTGAGGAAAGGAAGAACAAGAACCAGCCAACTGGGCAATTGACACTACTTGATTATATGGTTTTTGTGCTGATGTATTTATTTTCTTGTCATTTGGATGTTTTGAAAAAAATTTTTGTGACTTTTATACCAAAATACATTATTTCAATCATCTACTGTTGTATTGCATCCTTATTTAGTTGTAATGACCTTAACAGACATTAATATAGTACAGTACAATTAGTTTAGCATAACAAATCATCTGATTTCCATTTAAAAGAAATTAACTTTTGATCACAAGTTCATTGCAAGCAGTTATAAGGGTATTTAACAAAGAGTGCAATAATACTAGGATTTACTTTTCCACCTGCTGTATACATTCACTTTATATTCATTTAATCATCTTTTCTTAAGCACAAATTAATTATTTAGGCATTTACCTGGTCAATTCATTTATCTGAAATTCATCTGAGCTTCTTCCTAAGTGCAACGGCATAATTTATGTGCACATGCATATCACGTCCAGTATCTCTAATAGGCAAGTCCATTTAAACATTTATTACATATTCGGAATTATGTTTTAAAGAGCCCCTGGCACAATGGGGCGAAGGTAGGGTCAGTCCATGTATTTTTCTACACGTAGGATTTGGCAGTACATCAGCATGGAGAACACCAAAGCAAGAATCTGGAGGGAGAAAATGCAGTCGCATTATATCTGAGCGCATGCAGCAATTGTATAATAATCAGACTCTGAGACACATGAGTTTCAAAGTACCTGAACAATTCCAATGCAAACTCCAAACCCAAGCACTGAGGTGATGTTAGCCAGAAGCCAGTCTTTGGCCTTCTCATAGCACGGCTAAAACACAAAATTAAGAATAATCAGGTTCAGCCAGCTGGTCATTATGACAAAATAAATTCTGACATGACAATCAGGGTCTCTTATCACACTAAAACAGTTTATTTTGCAATAAATATTGGATGGAAGTACATTATCTTTGCTTATTATTAATTATTTATGAATTATTCCTGAATTTTCAGCAGCCGTTACTTCAGTCTTCAGTGTAACATAATCCTTCAAAAATCATTCTAATATGCTGATTTGGAACGAATCAAGTATTTCAAGGAGACTTCTAACAAAGAGCATTACCAGATGTATGTAGGGTTTGTTCTTGCTTTCATTTTACGTTAAGCATATGGTTGCAATTACCAATAGTTGGTGGGATTTAGGAATGTGTGGTACTTAGCTGACCCTGTGACCCCAGAAATGATCTGACCTCTTCCCAGTGATGGCAGCGTTCAGTATTATCTCTGCAGCAGGAGTCAGGAGGTTTGCCACTGGACGTTTTGTTGTGCCAGTCGGTGTGGTTGCTCACACCACAGCACTTGAACTGAAGGAAACAGAATCCATGATTCACGCTGAAGAATCTCAGCCTTCATATTTGTGACTGTTATAAATTCAACTCACAATTCTCTGCATGTTGTCCCAGGATTTTTTTAGCCCCTCATTTGTGAGATAGTCTTTCATTCCCTCTCTTAGGTCATCCTTGGCTTTCTTGTCCAACTAAATGGGTAAAACAGAGAGAGAAGTGGATAAACAGGAAGTTGAAGGCAAAGTGTTTTCCTGAAAGGAAAGGCTGAAATATTTGCAAGGCTCAGCCGTTAGTCCCTCACCTCTTCATGATACACACTCAAAACCAAAATCAGTGCCACTTCTGTCAGGACTAGAAACAAGAGGATCACAAAAAACTGAAAGAACCAGAAAGAACTATTAGACCACATGAATGACAATAGTAAACAGACATGGTGTATTCTGACAGTATGCCCATTTAGCAAAGAAAAATCACAAATGAAATATTTTTAATATCTCAGTTGTTTCTCTTAGGCAGCAATGAGATTAAACACAGAGCATTTAGAAACTTTTGCTTCTGTTTCTAAGATCTTTCTCCTGAAAAAAAAAAGCCCTACTTTGCTCACATATGTCTCCCCAGAAGAGATCTCAACAACGTATCATTTTGGGCTCAGATTTGTCAAGATCAATGACATTCTTCGATTAAAATATGAGATCAAATATTTCTTATCAAATACACTAGTCCAAAGTATCTGAACTGTGCTATAGACACCAATTTACTATATAACTGCCTCTCATTTGTTTTTATATGTCCTCTTAGGAGAAACACCAGAGATAAAGATGATACTTGAATGAACATCTTTATATACAAAATAAATAAATACATCGACATGAAATTTCAATTATTTAACTATGCACATTGTATAACACATAAACATACTAAAGGTTTGTGGTCGGTAAGATTTTTAATGGCTTTTGAAAGAAGTCTTTTATGCTCCGGAAGGCTGCATTAACTGATCAAAAATACAGTAAAAACAATAAAATGATAAAATATTATCACAATTGAAAATACTATTTTCTATTTCCATATATTTTAAAATGTAATTTATTCCTGTGATGGCAAAGCTGGTTTTTGTTTCTTAACTCCAGTCTTCAGTGTCACCTGATCCTTCAGAAATCAGAAACATCTGAGATGAAGATGATACTTGAATGAACGTCGTCCTCTGGGCATTTTTGCACACATCTGTTTTTACTGATGTCAGTAAGGATCCAGGTATCTCACCGTCATCAATAGACACTTCTGCTCTTTCAGAGCACCAAGGCATCCGAGGAACCCTGTTACCATGGTGACGCCTCCAGCAACAAGCAGTAGGTTGGCCGCGGAGAGTGAAGGGAAGGACAGTGGTAGAGATGAAAACTCTGACTGCGTGAAGGCGAGCCACACCCCAACACCAAATAAACCACATCCTCCCAACTGCACAAACAAGCACAGGTAAAGAAAAATAACGGCGCATCATCATCATGTTCAGAGAAGTCACTTCCCATCAGTGTAAAGCAGTTTAGGTTGTTCTGAGGGACAATTGTAGACAATTGTAAAGACTTTAATTGACTAATAGGCTACTTAATTGCATGTGCTTGCATATTTTATACATGTTAAACAGTTAAGGCTGGAATACATTACATGACTTTAAAATTCTGAACAGATTTTAAAACGCTATATACTTGCTAAATTTTTAGAGAAAAAAATGGGACCTCAGCATTATACACTAAAGGAGTGAGCATCACACCTTACCAGACTTTCAAGTCATTCCAAACACAATAAACTTAAGCAGAAACATGTGCCTCGTTGCCAGGAGACGAATGACAAATGGAACAATATGAGTTCTAAAATATCAACCTGGATAGAGTTATAGTCTTAAGCTAGACACGTGACTTCTGTGAAAACTGTCAACTCTAATATCCAAAATCTGCAGACTGGCTATGACTTTCGTCAAATGTAAATCAGAGGTGAAATCTTAAAGTTGTTGTGTACAGTTCCACCCTTTAGTTTAGTTTTTGGCTAAGAGGCGTTCCCTGGCTGTTTTCTGCAAACGTTACATCAGCAGGTGGCGACAAGTGACGTTTTTTTTAAGTGAGTCAATGAACCGATTCGCCGAGTGAATGATTCAATAATTCAATCCACAGTGCTCATTCAGGAAAACCACTACTGTCGTGTTGTTCAGAGATGCTAACAGTTGATAGCCTACTGTTTGGACTTTGTTGGCAATAAGTAGATGGAGCAACAAAGTACTTGTGTAAGTATTAAAGGGATAGTTCACCCAAAAAAGAAAATTCTGTCATTAATTACTCATTACTTGAAGCATGCATGTGCGTTCCTCTTGTAAACAAGAGGCAGTGCATGCGTGTTCTATGTCAGCAGCCCCACAAACATATCGTGAATGGCTGTGGACTGACCCCAAAGAGAAGAAATTGTTGATTAAAGTCATTATTTTTGTTTTCTTTGCGCACAAAAAGTATTTTCGTATTTTCATAAAATTACGGTTGAACCACTGATGTTACATATGGGCTATTTTAACAATGTCCTTATTATGTTTCTGTGCCTTGATCGTGGTAGGAGCCTTGCTGTCTATGGAGGGTTAGAAAGCTCTCGGATTTCATCAGTAATATCTTAATTATGTTCCAAAGATGAAAGAAGGTCTTACGGGTTTGGAACGACATGAGGGTGAGTAATTAATGACAGAGTTTTTGGTGAACTAACTTAGTGTTTACTGAACTGGGGCTGTATTACAGAAACTTCCTATCTTAATTCTTGATTTAAGATTGGAAACGTTTTGTTTCCTAAGTGAAATTACCATGGTTACCAAACAGAATATCTAAGTTAATATATTTCTGTAATAGAGCCCCTGTTGTTTAAAAGCAATAACACAACCTTGTGTGTTTGAATAGCCTCATGTCATTAAGAACTATGGTTTGAGTTCAAGAAACTCTTACAGGTTTGGTCATTGGTGATGTTCTACTGAATATGGTTCCACAATCTGCTAAACTGATATTTGACAGAAGAGAAAAGCAGAACTAACCCAGAAGATGAGGTTGAAAATAAACATGAGGTACTTCACACAGCAGAGGCAACCTCGTGACACAGACATTCTGCATGAAAGAAGAAAGACAGGAATAGAGTCACCAAATGACGATAAACGTATTGTGTGTGCTTTTAACGTGTGTAAACTTTCACACTCTCCTGAACTGTAGCATGGAGAGGAAGTGCTGTTTCCAGACAGGAAGAAACCACCCTTGTGTTGTTGTACTGCTGATAGCATTAACTATAAAGCTATTATTATTAAAGCTATTATCCATGTCTGAAACATGTACTCATGTAAGGCCTCGCTTATACGTTAAACTCAACGAATTTTGTGGATTTTAATAATATGTTTCACTTCATTTTCCATGAGCGAAAGGCAACAATCATGTTGGTGGTTATTTTGCCATTTTTGTTCCAACAAAATGCGGTTCACATGTGACCACGGAGTATATTATGGGCCAAAATGTAAACATATAAGCCTCCTCAAAGTTAGGCAGCACATAGATTTATGACCTGATTTCAGTGGTATGTCAGTAATGGTTCTGGAAATTGGCACCATATGTATTTGTGAATTAAATATGAGAACACAGAAACTAATCCTACATTTAGTTTTCTTGTCATTAGAAATGCTTAAAAAAGAGGGGAATTAGCTCGAAGCATAACCCACAATTGTTTGCTTTCTTTTTTTCAGCCCATTTTTTTATCAGTTCTACAAGTCCATAAAATATATTTTTTTCTGATCTAAATATCAAACAAAATATCCTATAAGTAAATATCTGGGTTTCATAAACACATGATATTGAATAAAATTTGTCATTGTTTTCTATGGTACATTTCAGCACTGATTAAGTGGTTCATAAACAGTACACAAATCCTTATTTTTAATATTGCTAAATTTATATTAAACATGAAGCAAAGAGAGTCACTTTACCTTGATTTAGATGGAGACAGAAAAAGTGACTGACTGGCAATTGAAGAGTTTCTATGAACAGAGTTGAGTTTTCACTTTGTCCTGAATCCGAAGCTTCCTGTATTGTCTTTTTGTTTCGTACTGATGAAGTTCATGAGATCTTGCTTTATTTATTCATAGATCAAAATTATCCACATTGCAGATGTGATTCCTCCAGTTCTTTTGGTTGTTAATGACTCTCATAAGGTGCAAAAAACCATAAAGGCTGATGAACTTGAAATATTGGTCTCGCAGTTTTGTGGGTTACAGAATTCTTCATAAGCTTTTCATTCTTTGTTGTTTAATTCCTTCAGACTCTTATCATTTCTCTCCCGGGTTTTTCTTAAGGTTCCAAAATATATTTTCTTTTTTATGTAACAAACAACGTCAAAGTATTTGTTTGCTTGTTAGTGTGTTCCCTCAACCCTAATGACTAATTTCTGGTTCTCCCTGGCTTTCTCTCTTTTCTATCAGCTATTTTCCTCCCTCTCTTGTTCCAAATAACTTCCAGATGTAGTTATCAGCCCTCCCCTCTCACTCTTTCCCTCTCTCCTCCCCCTGCTGGTCTCCAGAGAATCCATTCTTTTCCAAGATCCTCCTCTCCTGAATCTTTCTCACTCCCCATTTCTCTTGGTTTTGTCCAAACAATCCTGATGGATGTGGCCAGCAGACGCACATTTGAGGCTTTGCAGTTCTCTGTGTGTGTCTTTCTGTTTAAACTGTAGATCTTTAATCTATTAAACACAATACTAACCCTTTGTAGAACCAACAGAAACACTTTTTTGTTATTAACATTTGTAGTTGAATTTATTAATGTGATATAAGAGGAGTAGGGGACTTCTTCATATAATTCTATTACACACACACACACATACATATATATATATATATATATATATTGCTGAATGCTGAATTTTTTTCATAAAAAAAAAAAGTTAATTTAATGTAAATGTCAATCAGTATTAATCACAGTTGAGTGAAATTTGCAGTGAGAATATTTGTCGGAAATCTTGTTGTGAGCTCCATCTGGTGGTCATTTGGAATATAATTTTATTTAGTTGAATATGCTGTATTTTGATAATTTCAAGAAGGTGAAATGTAACCCATTTCGTTAGATGAAAATTATTTTTTTTTGCTGCAATGAAATTTTAAACAATAACTATAGCAATGTCGCTGTGTTAGGTATCTCACACTATATGCTACAATGTCAGAAATCCCCAAGGAAGTATCTTAAAAATATCTTGTTGGATTTTTAAGAAACCCATAGAGTCTGATATCTCTAAAAAAAATTTTAAAAATCTTCAAACAAAAATAACCCACCTTTGCACCCTGACATTTCTACTTTGTTTGGCACACCCTTCCTTTCCAAGATTAGAATGGTGCTGTCTTCTGATTTTTCTTTAATTTAGTGAGATATAGGTGTGGATCTATTGCTAGCTACATCCTGAGCAATATTTTGTTTTCAGCCATCCTTGGGTCTCTTGATGTAATTATAGGGTAAAAGAGACACAGCTTAATAGTGCTGATTTGAATGTTGTGCCTTAGAAACTTCTAGATAAGACATCTTTCTTTCTTTCTTTCTTTCTTTATTTATAAAGCACTTTCACACAACTACCAGTTGATCCAAAGTGTTGTACAATACAGCTAATATAAAACATAAGAAACCTCAAAACACAATATAACAAAACAATTGACATGGCTAGATAAAAGCTATTGACAAAAGATGTTTTTTAAGCAGGTATTTAAATACAGGCAAAGAGGGCGCAGCTCTAATAGAAGCTGGTAATTTGTTCCATAGACTAGGACCAGCAACAGCGAAGGCTCGATCACCTCTGCAATGGAACCTCGATCTAGGAACAGAGAGGAGACCAAGATTACTGGATCTTAGGGACCTATTTGGTTTATGGATAGAGATTGTCTCAGAGAGATATGATGGGGCTTGATTATGCAGAGATTTAAAAACAAAAGTTAAAATTTTAAAAGTAATTCTAAATTTGACTGATAACCAGTTTAGTGAAATAAGAATGGGCGAGATGTGATCGAATCTCCGTCTGCCTGTTAGCAACCTTGCAGCAGCATTTTGGACCATCTGTAAACGCATTATAAAGGACTGACTTATACCATAGTATAGTGAATTACAGTAATCTAAACGAGATAGAACAAACAAGTGAATAATCTGTTCAAACTGTTTAACAGAAAGTAAAGATTTGATTTTTGATAAACGCCGTAAGTGGAAGAAACTTGATTTGACCACTGCACTAATTTGTTTCTCAAAACCCAGGTTGCAATCAAAAAGAATACCAAGATTTTTAGCACAGGGTGTAAAGTAGGAAGAGAGAAGACCAAAGTGAAGGGTACAGTCTTCATATGACTTTAAACCAAACAAAATGATACCTGTTTTGTTCTCGTTTAACACTAGAAGATTCTGCTTTAACCATATTTGTAATTCATTTAGACAATCCAACAGAGGTCCTAAGAATTCTTTACTTTTATGCTGCAAGGGAAAATACAGCTGAGTATCATCCGCATATAGGTGGTAGGACACTCCATATTTCTCAAAGATAGCACCAATTGGTAGCATAAATATAGAAAATAAAACTGGGGCAAGAATTGAGCCCTGTGGCACCCCACAAGCAAGTGGGCGTGAGGACAAACTATGTTGGCCAATGGAAACACTAAAATGTCTGTTTGTTAAAAAGGATTGAAACCATTTCAACACCTTGCCCTGACATGACAGCTCAGCAGAATTACACAGGTTTGTAAAGCTTGTCATTACATCCCCTCCCTCTTGCACGTATGCTTATTATGTATTTTAGTTAGTTTGATAATGATTATAATTGAAAATGTTAAGAGTCTAGAAATTTCTGCTTAACACATTCACCACAGAATTTTACAGTTTTTCCTGCAAGATCAGCAAAGAAAATATTTTTAAAAGACTATGGAAAGTGTTTGTATTTTAAAAATATAAACATTTTATTGCATATTTTGCCATCATTAATATTCTATGCCATACATCTCTATGCTTACAGTAAACAAAAGTTTCATTCTCAGAATGTAAGTCTTAAAATCTTAAAGGTTAGCTGTTTTTTTTAACATCAACATTGTGTGCCGTGATCAATGAATTTATGTGCACTGTCAATAACCTCATTCCGGTAGCCAATTACAACTGTATCTTTAGATGTGGATAAAGATACAGACTGTGTGTTTTTAGCTACATCATAGCAAACATTTGAAATGGATGAATGATGATGTTTAATTAATTCAGCCATTATCTCGTCTTAAAGTGCGGTCACATTGTTTGACAAATTTTCATTGGTGAAATCCAGTCATTTCAATAGCAATCCATGCAGGCTGCAAATTTGCATGAGGGTTAAAGCTTTCCCCACAAATATTTTGCAATGGGTTCAGTTGGTCATATGAATTCGCCATTTTAACGAATGGAGTGCTGCTTGGTTTCAAACTTAATTTCTATATTAACTGTGATTCACACATCAGCACACTATTGACAATAATTACTATTTTTTTGCCGGCAAAATTTCGCAGAAGTTTGGCTAATATGACCGCACTTTTAAATATAAAACAACTGATAATGAATCGCGACAGTCAAATAATATATACAAAAATATATTACTTAGTCCTTTTAGTCCTAATTTGTTAACACAAATTATGTAATCAAGTCATTCCAATGAATTCCTTAATGTTCATTTAGTCAACAGAAGACTTTCAGACCGCTGTGGTGAGACAGAACGTTTCTCCTCCGTTCATCACCTTCTCTTCACTTTTTTCATCTCCATTCCGTTTCTCGCTCTCTTCCAGTGTTTTTCCAGTCTTGCCTTCATTCACATCTTCGTCTGTGTAAAGCAGAGGCTCCTGCTCCTCCCATTTCTTAGCCTCCTTGGTACCGTCCCCACCCACTCCACCATTAGAGGCATCTGCTGCATCCAGAGCAGCGAATGTCCTGAGCACCATATCGTCTCCATCCTGTTTCCCATTATTAGGCATTAGACCCTCCTCAGCGTCACATTCAACCCCCGCCTCCAGTTTGACAGGCCCCGCCCACGCATCATCCTCCGCCCCTTTTTTCTTTTTGGACCGTTTACTTTGTCCATTCATATACATGGGGCTGAAATTCCTTGAGGCGTTTTTCTTTCGCTGCTGGGTGAACAGAATCATGCCCACACACAGCGCAAAAATAATGGCCACAAACACTATTATTATTAATAACCAGCTGGTTTTCCAGGACATAATTTTTCCCCCAATAATCACGCCGGTTGTTGCGGTGGTGAAATGGGTGGAGGCTGATTCTTCGTCAGACCTCGAGTATGGGTAATCAGCAGTATTTTGAGGGAGCTGTGTAGTCGATGTTGATGTTGTTGAAGTTGAAGTGGAGGTTTCAGTGCTGGTGTCCACAGGGTCGGACATGATGGACGGAGACTCAGTCCAGTCTGCAGGTGGTGTGGTCAGGATGGATGTGGGATTGAGGGCTTCTGTTGAATCAGTAGTCATGGCTACAGCCGCTGTGGTGATTTCATCTGTAGGACATTCTGTAGAACTGGTCGACTCAGGAGAGGTGAAGCCAACAGTTGTTTCATACTGACTTGTGCTTGGGGCGTCTGAAGTTATTTGTTCAATCACTGTTGTTTCCACATTAACAGGCAAAGTAGGGGTGGTCACTGTGGTCTGCTCCGTTTGTACAGTTGTTGTTTCAGGAACAGATTCTGGTGATGTTTGTTCAATACTCAGTGGTGGAGTACTCTCACCTGTTGGTTCCTCAAGCATGGTGTTTATTTCATTAACAAGCGTGGTTTCTGGATTATGCGGATCCGCTTCTGTCTGTAGTAGAGTTACTGTATTTTCAGGTGTGGCACTGGTGATTTCAGAACTTAAAGTTGACTCCACAGTGTCATTATTTGGTAATGGGTTGGTGGTGTTTTCATCTGTCTTTGTTGTTGTCTCTTGTGCATCAGTGGACTTGAAGCAGGGTCCGAGAGCAAGCAACAGAAGCAAATTACCCAAAACAAGCCTCATGATGAGCATACTGCCTGAAAACATCACTCAATCTAGAAGCTTCCTACAGCGATTTCAGTGTTTGGGCAACAAAAGTGCTCAGGTGAGCTGATATTGTCTTTGGAGATCCACTTTTGAGCCTCGAGAACGTGATCGAAAACTGTTGACTATACGTTTATGGGAAGCCGTTGGCAGAAGAAATTCATCTTTTTTTACTTGTTCTCTGCGTGGTTGGTGTTTTACAGAGGTAATCTTGCGTGAATCTGGGCTGGAAAGTTTTACACAGGCCTGTTCCTTCCTCTTTCTCCTTCTCTGTCTCTCTCTCAGTGTAGCATGGGCGATTTCAGCTTTCAAATAAACATGTGACAGTAAAAAAGACACCAGAAGAAAAAGACAGTTAGTAAAAAAAAAAATCACTCTTATTTGTCTCAAGAATATATATTTTATATTAATTATATTTTTTGTAAGATTTTGTAATGTTTTTAAAGAAGTCCCTTATGCTCACCAAGGCTTTATTTTAGTGCTGATTAATCGCATCCAAAATAAAAGTTTTTGTTTACATATCATATGTGTGTGTTCTGTGTATATTTATTATGTATATATAAATACACACACATACAGTATATATTTTGAAAATATTTACATATACTTACATGTATATATTTATATTCATATAATTTATATCACATATAAATATATTTAATAAATAAATGTAACATATTTTTCTTAAATATATACATGAATGTGTGTGTATTTATATATACACAATAAATATACACAACACACACACACATATATTATGTAAACAAAAACTTTTATTTTGGATGTGATTAATCCCGATTAATCGTTTGACAACACTACTTTATTTATTTGATCAAAAATAGATTTAAAACAGTAATGTCCTGAAATATTGTTACAATTCAAAATAACTATTTTCTGTTTTACTATATTTTAAAATAGACGTTATTCCTGTGATGGCAGAGCTGAATTTTTAGCAGTCATTACTCCAGTCCAGTACTCCAGCCATTACATGATCCTTTAGAAATCATTCTAATATGCTGATTTACTGCTCAATAAACATTTTTACTATCATTACCGATGTTGAAAACCCTTAATATTTTTGCGTAAAATATTCAGAATGATTCCTAATGCAAATATATATCAATTATCATTCTAAATAATATTTATTTATTTATTTTTGCTAGAAGGTAGAATTAAGTTCTAATGCTTTTTATCTAAATTGACTTTCTTGGGAGTTTTGGGAGCCCCATGACATTGGCATTGTTTGCGCTATGCTCTACCAGACGAGCTACACTTCATGTGACGGGCAGAACAGAGGTACATCCTCAGGTTATTTCAGTGCATATCTACCACATTTACTAAAATGCAATTCGAGTGCCAGCATGATGTTAATGTTTCTCTATGCTGCATGTAGCATTTTTTCTTTCTTTTTTTGTCTACCTGTCCTCAAGCATCTTACACCATCACAGCCACAAACCGTTTACCATTTGCTCCCTTTATGAATAAGTGCGATTGCCACTTACCTTCATGCCTCTGAGAAAAGTCACTGCAAACTCCGACCACCAATACCAAACTACACATGTGAAAATCTACACACTCACGCATGCAGAGCACACCTATATCCTGTTCATTTCTCTTCCTCTCTCACTCCTACATGCCCTCTTTCATTTCTCCTCCCTCTGAAGATGTCATATCACTGCTTGCATCTGGCCGAGAGAGGCTGCAGCCAAAAGATTTAGAAAAAAAAAAATGTGCCAAAAGTGTTAGGTTATAGTATGAATTATTATCTGAGGCTGAAGTAGAAAAAGGGAAGCCAGGCTCTAATGGGAAGCTCTGTGCAGGGTGTGTTGACACTTCTGTGGGTTTTGACTATGCTTTGTCTGCACAACTTTGCTGTTACGTGTCTATGTGCAAGCACGTGTGCGTTTGAGTGTGTACATGTATATGTGCGTGAGTATGTGCTTGTTGGGTGGAGGGTATTGCAAACTTAGAGAAGTGTAAAAATTTGTGTCTAAAATAAGGTTTGCTCAAACAGTTCTGAGATGTACGTCCCGTCCTTTCATATTTCACAATCTAAATGACTACATATCTAAAATGAATACAGGATTTGGCAACTTTACCAGTTGCAGCTCTCAGTAAGGTTCAAGAAGGTTCATTTAGGCATTTTACATGAGCACGATATCTCGACTTTGACTTTAATAACAGTTTTTTTTTTTTCTGTCGATGTTTAACTTCAGCAGAAAACTACTGAGACTAATCACTTTCATTTCCTCTTTTTGAACATTTAGCATTTTTTCATGATCTTTGTCTCTCACTCTCTTTTTCACCACTCAAGCACAACAGAAACCTGCATCATCTGTTGTAAATCTTCCAAATGAATGATTCACACCATCTCAGAATCAATATTTATTTGACTTTACTTCACATGATAATCTTAACTAGTGCAAGCCAGCACTGTGAGATTTCCAAAGACAATGTGTTATCAGAGATTTCTGCCCCTAGAATTTTTCTTGGGCAAGTTATCGCAAGTCCTGACCTAGTGACGGTGGCAACACAAGATGTAATTGTGTGCCTCTGTATGGACTGAAAAAAAACAGAATAGCTTTTTAAATTATGTTTTTTCATTCAGTACTGTTTGCATATCAATAGAAATTGCATTTGTTTTTAAACTGCATATTATTATTCATTGAAAGGTAACTTACAAATATGTGTATTTTTTATGTAAATATACATAAGTGAATATATATACATAAAATGTACCAATTTTTTCAGGGATTGGAATTTTTTCAAAAATAACCTAGAATGTTCTGAATTTTTCAGCAGTGTATTAAAAATGCATGTGGTTGATGTGGGCCGCCCCTTCACTTTTCCAAGTAAGGAGAAGTACTGTTTATCTTTCTGGAGTCACGTCACTCTTCTTGTCCACATTTTAGTTTGTCTGATGTCTGAGAAGTGTTATTTTACTTATTGACACATCCATTTAATTTCACTGTTGAAAAAACTTGAAAACTTGAGGCAACCAGCTTCAGGACTTTTTTAATATACTTATGGGAAAATGATGTATTAACCTAAATTAATTGGCCAGTGCTATTAATGTAATATAATGTAATACTCTCTATATATAAACTTGTATTTTAAGTTAAGATGAGCATTAACGTTACAAAATAGTGATGTAGCCTAGAGCATTCTTAGATTGTCTAACTTGTGTATATGTTTGTTGAGCAAACTGAAAAGGTTATACAGAGTTATATCTACACACCAAAACAAGTTGTGCGTGTGTATACTCGCATGAAATGGAAGGAACTTCACAGAGAACATTTTAATGGTGACTTGAAACGAAACACAACAAAATAAAGTCAAAAACGTTACATAGAGCTAAAACATCTCATTCTGAAAAACAAATATTTGTCATCATAAGTCCCCATGCTTTGACCAAAAACACAAATGATTGCATCACCAGTGATCAAACTGAGCATGCTCAGCTGCCTGCTAGCTGGACCCTCACCACCAAACTTGAGACTGTAATGCTGCCTTCATGTGCTATCTGAATTTCCTGCTTCCCAATTCTGAAGTTATCACGAGTTTTGTTGTGTTTAAGTGCTTTGTTGTTGAAAAGAATAGAAATAATGGAAGACGGTAGGTTCATTCTTGCCCATTTCTTGGGGAAATCTTACTGAAGCCAAAATGTATTGAAGACATATAGTCAATATCTAACGGATTTTGAATAAAATATAGCATCCCATTAATTGGCAACGATTTAAACATTACCCGCACTATTGTATACATTCACCGTGCTATCTATATAGTCATCTTGTTGACAATTTCAGAATTTTGGTCCCAAAAAAAATGCTACAAGCAATATGCATCAAATGGTTATTTATGTACGTAAACATAAATTTAACGGCAAGAGAAAGCAATGCAAATGTTTTGGGAAAAATGAATAAACCTTAACAGTCACTATTGGTGGTTCTCTCCTCCATCATGTTTAAAGCTTATGGCCCACCCAACTCAGAAACTTGTGTATCACAATTAGGGTTGCAAAATTCCGGGAATTTTCAAGACTGGAAACTTTCCATGGGAATTAATGGGAATTAATGGGAAAATATGGGAATTAATGGGAATAAACTGGAAATTTGCAAAATTGCAGGAACTGGAAACTTAAATGCAGTTGAGAAAATATCTTGCAGCATTATCTTGGTTAAAACAACCAGATTTAATGCAATTTCAGTTTAATTTCTACCCTACACACTGCTCAATCACATGCATACAGCACACTGCTTACTGCAGGGCTATTGAGGCCACACCCCCTACATGCACTGTGCTTTCCTACATAACATGAACAGATCATTTCTTAAATCCTGCACACAAAATATCAAAATGTCCATCATGGTAAGTATTCATGTAAATTACATGAATAATACAAAAAATTATGTTTAAAACTTCATTGTGCTGTGTGTAATATACTGTGCAACTAAAACAGGCTATACCATTGTAAAAACAAATACACTGATACATTACCATTCTAAAGTTTGGGGTCAGTATCTTTTCTCTTTTTTTGAAATAAATTAATATTTTTATTCAATAGTAAAGTAGTAAAGTAAAGACTTATATTATTAGAAAATATTTCTATTTTGAATAAGTTTTTATTTATCAATATAATCCTGAAAAAGCATCACAGATCCCCCCCCCCAAAAAATCCAAAAATGTCATTTTTTAAAAATGTGTATTAGTTTGCATGCATGTGAGCCTATGATCAAACAAAATGTTTATATTTATGTTTG